GGGGGAATAAATCTCTTCAAAACTGTTGACTTTGTTCTACCGTGTTAATGGTCAATCTAAGAAACTTTGTGCAGTAGCTTAAGTGTTTGGGCAAATGGGTAATTTCTGTTGCTGGTGACCAGGAGGGATCTGTCCTGCGAGTAAAATGTCCTTCTGCGACTTGTGTACGTGGGTGTTGCTTGTACTCGGACTTGGTATTTCAATAGTGGTATCTTAATACATTTTTTCAGTATGTGCAGCTTCTCTAATTAGCAGCGTGGTGCTATTAAGGCTCAGCAATTTTTGAAGCTCGGATTCCTTTGCACAGAGCTGTATTTGGCGCCACAATGATCCAGGTCCCTGGATTCACATGGTGAAAAGAGCCACTTAAAGTGGCCATTTTTCACTCCCGGTGTTTTTTGTTTCTTGGAGGATGAGGCACCAAGAGCACGAACACAACGATTAAATCAAAGCGGCCCTTGTGCGCTGAGTGCTGTCCAAGAGGAGGAGGAGGCAAGGCTGGCGGGAGGAGATGTAGCCCAGCGCGACTGTTCCTGGCTGGAATGGGCTAGACACGTTAGTAGGAGGAAGGGGAGTTGGCTGGATCCAGCTGCCTCCTTCCAAAGATTCTCTGAGAGCTAATGGAAGAGCTTCCTGGTGGCTTTGTGCAACTTCTGCATTTTCCTCTTTATAAAATGAACTCAGCAAGGCGGAGGCTTGGCCAACAGCTCAGTGGGGAAAGGTGCCCGAAAGTGAGTAATTTTGACAGGGGGTTTTCTCCCAACTGGCTGGAAATCCTGGTGCAATAGCTTGGTTCTCCATCAGGGCCATCAAACTGCAACCTTTGAAGGATGGGGAGAGGAGGCAAAAAGGCTGAGGAGATGAGTTATTCCCATAAAAAGCAAGATACTCAACCTAGAGCAGTTTCCTGGGATGGAGGCAGTTCTGCTTCTGCAGCCGGGGTGGCGAACATGGTGGTGACATCTGACAGAGCTTAGCAGGTTGTTTGGGCACCATTTTGGCAGAAATGTCTCCTAAGCCTTGGTTTGGTCAAGCATCTAGCAATTGCCCTGCAATGTGGACACCTCTAAAACTGCCCCAGAAAGCACCTCTAGGCCCAGCTCTGCTTGCTGAGGGGTGATGGGGAGCTGGGAAGTTCTCCTGGATGCCTCCGTTGTACTAATAAGGTGTTACGGGTGGGCAAAAAGCACCGTCTGCCCTGGTAAGAAAGCAGCAGGAGGAGAAAATTTCTCCAGAGTGCAATAAAACAGCCCTGGCATGGAAATGAAATTGTGTTTCTGGAGGAAAAAAAAAAAAAAGCAGAGAGGGAGAGCGCAGATAGGAAGGAAAAGAAAAAAGCAAAAAGCGAAGACGGGCAAAACTTTGAGAAATTGTTTCTGGCTCCCGCTAGCTCACAAGATTAGGGCTGATAATAGTTTCTCTGTGGGAACGAGCAGCATGGAAAGAGGTGGGCAGTGCACTTGCGCTGCTTAGGGTGGGCCAGGAAGTGTTATTAAAAGAGGCAACTTATACAAAATGCATATAAGTGATGTCCATCTATAGAAATATGAGAGAGCAAATTGCTCGCGTGAGGCGCCGCTCTGTTTGGTGCCAATGCTTGTGGGCAGCCCAGCGCCCAGGAGCTGCTGGGTTTTTCTCCTCCTTGGTTGTTCCTAGGTGCTTCCTGGAATCGCAGCGTTGCGCTGGCGCCTGCGTCTCGGCGAGAAGGGATTTGCTCCGATCCCGATCCCGTGCGGCAGCGTGGTCACCACGAGCGCACGAACCCGCCCGTGAACGGGTCTGTTCCCGCAGCAGCGCCCCGGAGTGACTCATCCTCCCTGGCATCAGTGCTAACGAGGAGCCACTTCAGACTAATTAATAAGCACTTGATGTTTCCTGGGCGGAGGGGATACTGCCTGGCGTGAGCTTGCAAAGGAGGTGCTCAATTAATCCCTATTAGCAGGGGGCTGTGTGTGCTTCCCCCAAAGCGGGTCAGGGTGCTGGGGTTGAGCTTTGCGGTGCTGGGAATGGGGAGCATCCTTCACCCACTCGTGGTTTCCTGCCTCAAGAGAGGACTGGAGATTAAAAAAACAGGCTAAAAAACATAGAAGTTGGGCTTGTGGTGTCCGAAAGCCTCAGGGGAGTTGTTCCAGATGCAAAGTGAAGAGCGAGTGTGTCCTTCTGAGGGGTTTCCAGCTGCTCTGGTTGCCTTCTCCCTGGCCGCAGAGCTTCCTGCACCCTTTTCTTGCCCTCCCCAGCGCCATGTGGCCATGTCTGATATAATCCCCCATTCCCTAGTAGCACCTCATAATGTTTTTAGCCAGGGGAAGAGCTGCTCTCCAAGCTCTACCTTGGTTTATTTTTGTGTATCAACTCACTTTTCTGCTCATTAAATGGCTCAATAGCTCGTGGAGGTGTTGAGGGGTGAACATGATGTGCCGAGTTAAGTGGGACGTTAAAGTATCAGCTCTTCTGTGCGGACTGCAGTCCTTATCTATTGACTTCTGGAGACACGAAAAGGCTATAGAAGTCTCACATTTTTACAGTGTGGGGAAAATATTTCACTCCAGTGACTCCCGTATTGAAGCCAATAGCTAAGAGTTGAGTAGAGCGTCTTCTACGTCTGTGTCTAGTCCTGGTGTGAAGGCATCACAGCATGGAGCCCCCCTGGTTTGGCTCTACCTTGCTGTGGTGGTCATTAGCAAATACCCTGGGGTCCTGTGTTAGGACCTCTGTGCATCCAGCAGGAAGGGACAGCAAGAGACCTCCAGGTCCAAGGAGAGAGTCCCAGGTAGGGGAGAAAGGGCAATGGGGGTGTCCCACGAGTGGCAGGCTGGTGGGGAAGGACATGAGCAGGCAGAGAGAAAGCGAGGACCACGAGTAACCTTGTACAGGAGCTGTTTCTATGCTCATTTCAGCAGAGCTGATTTAGTGGGTGCTTTATAGCCCCCGGTTAATAGGCACATCAGCAGAGCTTACGTTAGCGGTGCAAAGCGGCTTAAGCTAAGCCTTGGGTAAACTGCCCTTATTAAGGCAAAGCGCGCCCAAATTTGCAACGGTTTAGCAAAATCCAGTTCACAGCCGCATCTTTAGTCACAGTGAGGCTGGGCTGTGCGAGCAGGCAGGGATATGAGGGGTCCTATGGATCCCATAGGTGAGCACAGCTTGGGATTGTACTGGAGCAGCTGCATCCCTGCAGAAGCTGGGCTCGAGGCTCCCTGCAGCTCGTGGAGCATCAGAAATTTCCCCCGTCATTCCTGGAGTTGCTCCTGGAGGGTGAGAGCGGTCACCACCTCCGTGTGCTGCTGGGCTGTCCTAGACTGGCCACTTACTGCTCAAAAAAGGGGTCTGGGGAGGTTGAAGACCCCTAGTTGGGGTCCCAAAGCTTCTCCTAGGACCTCCGCTCCCTCCGTCCGTCCTGTCCAGGTGCTTCCCAGCGGCACACCGGGCCGTCTTGCCCCTGCCACCTGCCTCCTGGGATTAAATCCCAGGTGCAGCGTTGGCTGCTTGACCTCCTGCCACTGCTCCTCAGCCCTCAGGGTTTGGTTTTCATTTGCTTTTCTTCTGTTTTGTTTTCTGGTGCCTTGGGAATGTCATTCCCCCTTCCCAGCAAGGTGGGCGGACACAGGAGCAGCCCCTCGCTGTCCGAGCTGGGAGCCCAGGTTAAATCCTCTTCCCCACGTTCTCACCCTCTTCCTCATCTAACCAACCCGCCTGGGGCAGATTTCACAGCTGCTACTCCAAAGTCCTCCCAAGCGTAAGAAAACAGAGAAAGCCAAGCCCTGAGCGGGGTTTACATGGGTGGAATCGGACCCGTCGGGAAGGTCGGCACAACTGTCCGTGCAGAATGGGCCTCACGCCGGCCCCTTGTGTGGGGAGGCCGTCGGCCACCTGCCAAGGTCGGGTTTTTCTCTGGCTCTTTCCCATTTCTGCTCCTTCCCAGGACAGGCCAAGCCCCGTGGCCTCAGCTACTGTCCTGGAAACGCTGTTGAAGTCCTGCCCCACGTCCCCCTTGCCCAAAGCTCTTCCCCCCGCCCCTTAGAATAAGAGCAGAAATAATCAGGGAAGCCACGTGGAATGTTGCTTTATTCTATGTGAATAAAGCACCGTGGACCAGGCTCAGAAGCCACTGATCTTAATTTACGTGTGTCCTGGGGCAGATCTGAAGTGATTTGTTCCCCCTCGAGGTGAAGGGCTGGTTTAATTAAGTCCCTTCATCACAAGAAGTGGGGGCCTCCTGCCTCTGCAAGGGACAGAAACGGTTGCCTGCACCATGCTGGCCCAGATGCTTGGAAGCTCCTGTTTGTCTTATGAGGCTCCTGTGTGTGCAGTGCTGGAAGATGGCAGCAGAACATGGTGAGACCAGCAGTGTTGGTAGTTAAGTTGGAATAGCTCTCGGCCCCGAGTCATTGGGGGCAATCAAAGCAATGGGAGTGAGAAGCATCTAGTACGTGGCTGCGGGGTGAAGCTGCACGCTTGGTGGGACCAACTTGCTGCTATAGGCACTGCAAAGGCCTTTGGTGTCTCCAAGAGAGCCGAGATGTCCTTTGGTGGTTGTGCTTTTTGGGTGTCGTTGGACACTAACATGCTGGTTCCTGCCAGTTGGCCACAACCACGTTGTGTCGAGCCCAGTTCTCTCTTGTCTCCTGCCTACTCTGGAGGTTGTGGAGTCTCCATTCGTGGAGATACTCAGGAGCTGTCTGGGCAGCGTGCTGTAGGTGACCCTGCTTGGGCAGGGGGTTGCACTGGATGATCTCCAGAGGTCCGTTCTCAGCCCCATTCTGGCAGGATTCCTGACCTAGGAGGCCGGGATGCTCTGAATGCAGAAGCTCCCCTTCCTCAGGTGGCCTTTCCCTCTCATGCTCCAGCTGGTACAGCTGCAGCATTAGAAACACGTGAGGAGATTTGGTGGCTTTTTCTTCCAACCCGAGGCCTCGTTGAGCTAATGAGGCATGGCAAGATGTACAGTAGCAGTAAAGATGTCAATTTATTCTGGAAAATCGGAGCTGGTCACGGTCCCCATGGCGCGTTGCAGGGGCTGGTCTCAAAGGCAGCCAGCGAGTGCAGGCAGCAGGAGCGACCCCGGGGGCTCCCCGTCCTCCCGGATTGTGGAGGAGGCCACTGACACCTCGGCGCGGCCCGGAAGAAGAGCTCGGCCCATGGCCAGGCCGCGGGCAGGTGCTGTCACCGCGCTGGTCACCACGCTCTTTGTCTCGGTCAGGCCAGGGATGCTGGTGCTGGATATCCTCCCCTCCCTTCTTTTGCGGGGTGGTCGTTCTCCTTTCCCGGCCTTTGCATCCTGAAGGAGCTAAGGGGGCCTCCCGGGCAGCCACCTCTGAAGCGAGGTCTGTAACTCCTCGCCGAGGCTCCTCTTCGAAAAGCTCCTCAGGAAAACACTGCTTGGTGTCCCCAGAGAGCCTCGGAGCTGTTAACGTAGCGGAGGTGTCTCCTTCCTTGCTTTTTTTCCCTTTCTTTTTTGACTGAAGCTTTTTGACTAAAGAGAGTAATTAAAAAGTGCAAGTTCCGGGCGTTAGGTGAGTGGGTTTGGTGTGGAACGCGCTCTTGCCGGCTGCCCCGTGCTCTTGCTGGAGAGCGCCGCGCTCGCTTGGCAGCCCGGAGCAGAGCTGGGGCTTTCGGAAAGGCCCTTGGGTGCAAAGCAGGCAAAATCGGAGCTCGCCGGGGGATGAGAAACCCACGGGGCTTTGAGGACAAGGGCTAAAGCTGATGGATGACGAGTGTCGCGTTCAGCCCCTCGGAACGAGGAGCGATCGAGATTGCGGAGGGAGCGATCGCGGCAGGACGGAAACGGCATCAGCCCCGGCTGGAGCCGCGGGCGAACTGAGGCAGCCGTAATATAATTACGGGAGCGAAATGCTAATTTGTAATAATAACAATTAAGAGAGGCGCGCGTGCCGATTACAGGAATTTGCAGCGAAGTGATAAAAGAAGCCCGCAGCCGCCGTGCTGCAGAATGTGCTTTGGTGCTTTATTTTGACAAGTGCCGTTTAGTTTAATTGTAATTAGAGATAAACAAAGCCCTTTCGCCGCGCCGCCAACAGGCCCATATGCTGCAAGGCGCCGCGCGCTCGTGTTGGCGTGACCCT